CCCCCGCGATCTACCCTCGCCCCCCCCCCCCCCCAGCCCCCTGAACACGCCCCTGCAGCTGCTGGACCTGGGGAACTGCGGCCTGGGCCGCGTGGACATGGCCTACCTGTGCAACAGCCTCCACAGCGAGAGCCTGGTCCGGCTGGACCTCAGCGGCCACCACCCGCTGGCCTCCTTCCCCTCCTGTTTCCACAAGCTGCTGACCCGCTGCTCCTCCACGCTGACCGCTCTCACGCTGGAGGAGTGCGGCCTCGCCGAGGAGCAGGTGGACGCCCTCTCGGTCGCCATGGCGCCCTGCCAGCGCCTGGAGGAGCTGAGGCTTCTGGGTAACCCGCTGACCTCCGCAGGCCTCCAGAGGCTCTTCTCCGCGCTGACCGCCCGCTTCCCCAGGATGAGGTATGTTAGAGTCGGTTCTTTAGTTGGAAGCCTGAGAATAAACCAGAGTAGATCCATCCATCCATCCATTATCAATACCGCTTATTCCCTGATGGGGTCATAGGGGGGTGGAGCCTATCCCAGTGGTCAATGGGCGAGAGGCGGGGTACACCCTGGACAGTCCGCCAGTCCATCACAGGGCCACACAGAGACACACAAGGACCAACAACCACTCACACTCACATTCACTCCTAAGGGCAATTTCCCCAATCTCCAATCAGCCTAACATGCAGGTTTTTGGAGGGTGGGAGGAAGCCGGAGAACCCGGAGAGAACCCACAGACACAGGAGAACATGCAAACTCCACCCAGAAAGGTCCTGGTTCACCAGAGTAGATCAAGAGTATAAATATGACATTTATTGGTCACAAGCAAAGTATATCAGCGCTGGGCTCTCACAGACAAAGTTCCCGGAGGATCTCAGTTAGCAAAGAGCCTCGATTTCCGGATGCAATGGGTAGTTATCCTCTGGGCCTCGAAGGGGGAGGACGGTTGGGCGTAGCCAAGCATCATTGGCCAGTTAGTTTGGTCATGATCAGGCCAGAGGCTCTTTGTTCATGCAGGTTTCGTGGGAATGTGATAAGAAAATGTGTATGTGTATGTTGACCTTAAAGACGAGTATCTACTGTAACAGAGAGATGGGGAGGAGGAGGCACAGCCAGAGAGTTTAACCCAAAAGTAGAATTATAAATGGAATAATATGAATCTAAAAGGAATAATACAATCAGTCATTTACATGGATTAAGTTATAGCAGTGTTTTTTAACCACTGTGCCTCGGTACGCTAGTGTGCCGTAGAAAATCATCCTATTTCACCTAATTGGTTTAAAAAGACTTTTTGATAAGGAATTAATCATCTGCAAATAATATTCAATTTTTGAGTGTCTGTGCTGTTCTAGTGACTGGTGGAGTAATCATGTAATAATTCTTTATGACTAGATTTTGTATAGAATTTTATATATTGAAGTGGACAAGTTAAGAGCAATTTGAAAGAAGAAATATAAGATATGATAAAAATACATTTTTGTTTATTTGATTCCTATTCAAGACACTTAAGATAAAATAAGAATAACTATAGTGTTACTATAGGCGGCTACAGATTTGTTTGACACATTTGGTTGGTGGTGCGCCTCGAGATTTTTCCAATGAAAAAGTGTACCTTGGCTCAAAGAAGGTTGAAAAACACTGAGTTATAGCATGTTATGCTAACGTAAGTAATTATAACCAAACTCTAACAGGTACGTGGAGATCCCCGTGCCCCGGGAGTGCTACCCGGAGGCGGTCAGCTACCCGCTGGACGACGGGGATTTGCTGCTCTACGACCGGGAGAAGTTCAGGGAGAGCAGGGCGCGGCTAATGGCCGCCCTGGAGGGCGCCGGGCGGGGGGGCGTGGAGGTGTGCACCCCGCTCACGGGCAGCTACGACCCGGACATCAGCGAGACCAGCAACGAGCTGGGAGCCTCCATGCTCAAGTCCTTCAACAGCGTGGTCGGGAACTTCATCAGCACCATCGCAGACGTGGACGCCCGCAGGTCTCAGGGTCGGGCCGAAGACTGAGGAACTTTGATTTTGTACAATCTGACTTTGTGTGATTTTGAAAAAGGCTGGATTAGAAGTCAGTGCCTCCAGTTTAGAGGTTGTAGCTTTTTGAGGCCGACGACTGACCGGGGATTGGCCAATCAGAAGCTTTGAACTTTGATTTTGTACAATCTGACTTTGTGTGATTTTGAAAAATGC